GACGGGGGAGCAGAGGTCGTCTGCTGTGTGAGAGTAGGCCAGCTTGACTCTTTTGGGAACCACTACTATTTAATAAATGTCCCTTTATTTAGCTGAAATGACAGGGGCCCGTGCTTCCCTCATACATTCTGTAAATACTTGTGCAATAGGTGAGCACAGTCACACACACACACATCTGCCACTATTTAAAAATCCCTCGGTTCTAAATTTATTTTCATTTTTTTTATGCGTATGAGTGTTTGGTCTGCATACATGTAAGTGTGCCCATGTGTGCAAAGCCCAAGGAGGCCAGAAGAGGGCATCGGATCCTCTGGAACTGGAATTACAGGAGGTCATTAGTCATGTGAGTCCTGGGAACCAAACCAGGGTCTTCTGCAAAAGCAGCCAGTGCTCTTAACTGCTGAGCCCTCTGTCCAGCCCCATATCCTTCTATTTATGAATATGACAGATTTTCAAAGGGCAGAGTGGTAGGATGGTCCTCACATGTCATCAATCTAGAAGCTAAAGATGAACAAGAAACCCAGGCTGGATGAGACCCGTTTCACCTTTAGCCTTCCTGACCACACAAAATACAGCAGCAGCTGATTTTTAATTGGAAGGGATCCTCTAAGACCAGACCGATCCCCATCTCCTGCCTGGGACCAGCTTCCTTCAAACTACTTGACTTTTTCTTGCTTAAGCCCTGGCCCCAGTCTCAGCCTTGATACCAGAGGTGGGAATGAACGCTCGGTCTCGTGGCACAAAGGCCACTGCCCCCGAGTCCCACGCACACAGTCACCACCAGCAGTCTTCCAGCAAATGCAGGCCAGGCTCCGCTCCCAGGGCCCAAGCACTGCATACAGGATGGACATGGCACTAAGGGTGTCCCTCCCACAGGTTATCGCCGTGATGGACCAAAGCAACCCTGGCCACTTCTGGACCCTGAAGGTGGGTCTACGGATGCAGCTTTTGAGGCACAGCACAACCCCAAGCCAGCTTCGGCAAGGAAAGGCTGTGCTGTGCTCCTGATCTTCCGTGTAGCTTATTTAATTTTTTCAATATGACTCATCTCCCATACTGTGATGAGTTTCAAATAACAAGTATCTAGACTAGCTGGAAGCTGCCTGCGGCTGGCTTCAGCAGAGCAACATGTGTGCGAATCCAGCTGAGGCTGCCTCAAGGCAGGTGTGTGTGTCTGTCAGGCCTGGGTTTTCTGGCCTATGACTGGGCTGGCTGGATCACACAGGAAATCCTCCTGGCTACCACTCTTCCCCATTCTCCTGTGCTGAACGGGTGTGAGGGTCTCTTTGTTACCTGGGCATCTTCAAAGCAGCTGCTGTGTGTGACACCCCTGACTGAGATGGTGAGTGAGGCAAGTGACTGTCTGTCTCCCTGCAGTGGTCCTGGGGGGTTCACGGGGCTAAATGGAGTGCACACACAAAGTGGCTACTGTGTGGATGGGCTAAATAGAATGGGAGCTGTCCTTTTGTGATGATGTTGTCAAAGAAGAAGAAAAAGAAGAGGATGATGGAGGTGGTGGTGGTGATGGTGATGATGGTGCTGCTGCTGATTGTGATGTCTAGAACCCCAAAGTTTCCCAAGAGAGCCAAGGAGCATGCCCCCATTTGCCTACCAAGCAAGACCTTGGTGACTGCAGAGCCCACTATGGATTGAGACCTCAGGAAGGACCTCACTCTAGAAGCGGGATTGACTCTTGATGAATGCCCACAGGGCAGAGGGAACCATGTGGATGCAGGAGGCTGGTCACACCTTGAACCAGTGAAAATGCCCACCCCAGTGATGGCATCTCTTGGCAACTGGAATATTCATCCTAGAGTCTTCCCAAGGCTCCCAGGCGCCTGCTCTCACCCTTGCTTTGCAGTGGGAAAGCAGGGCACCAGGGACTTTGAGAGCTCACGATCTCTCTGCACAGCCACAAGCAGTGGACACAGAGTGGGAGCTGTGGAAACATCTGGCCAGAAGGTCTTAGGGCCCAGGTCCCACTGATAAAGACAAGAGACAGACAAGGCCACAGGCTGGTCCTATGCTGATGGCACCCTGACAGCAGGGCCCTGAGAAATTTCCACTGTTGTCAAAACAGAAGCATCTTTCTCTTTGCAACTGGATAAATAGCCTTTTAAATCAAGTTCTCAGTTTCTGCTGTGGAATGCACCATCTCCTACCTGCAGCCGCACTCAATGTGACTCTATGTGGCTGTTGGAAACCACAGAAAAGCCACAAACGACGCTTTTTAAAAAATAATTATTTTTGTGCATGATGCGTATGTGTTAATGTGTGTGAATGCGGGCACATATGTGCCATGGTGCACATGGGAGGTCAGAGGACAGCCTGGGGCGTTGGTCCTCACTGTCTACCTTGAGACAGAGAGTTGCATCTGCATACCCCAGGCTCCTGGTCTTGAACTTCTAGGGATCCTCCCATCTCTGCCTCCAATCTCACTGTAGGAGTGCTGGGATTATGGACATGGGCTCCAGGAACCAGTTTTACGTGGGTGCTGGGGATCCAAACTCATATCCTCAGGCTTTCACAACAAGTGCTTTCCCCACTGAGCCATCATCTTCCCAGCACACAAACTGCTTTCAGATGAGTTTTCACACTCATCTACAGTCTTATTTCTTGTCTTGTTCAACAACTTTCTCCTGATTCTAAAGAGACTTGCCAGTTCATCCCAAGCTTGTTTCTTATGGTAAGCGGTCAGTAGACATCAGAATCTACAGGACTGCCTGAACTCTAGGTCACTAACAAAACTGATGCCTAGAACAAAGTACAGCCACCTCGAAACCACGCCCCCAAAGCGCTTGCAGGATTGAAGAATGGGACTCAGCAAAGGGTACACACTGGGGACCTACAAATTTCTGAGGTAGGAACATGGGTCCATGTGCATGACCTACAGGCACATTGTGTCACAGCTCTTGGCCTTGTGAAGATGGCATTTCTCTGAATATTTGACCAGTTTACTCAATGAGAATGACAAACTGACAGCTCTCCACCTAGGAAAGTCTCTCTTGTTCATGGTCCCCTGAGCTGGCACTGTGGCTCTTAGCCTTAGGACAACTGCTGCTTAGCTTGGAATAGCAAGAACTCCCTTTAAAAGTTATAGCGTTAACTCAGAACCTGCAAAATGGGCCCTCAGAGGACAGGTAAATAAGGGGAGCTAATATTAATAACAGTTATTATTAATAACAGCTAATATTAATGGAGTTCCTTCTCTATTAGGCCCATCTCTAAGCACCAGGCAGGGGTTAACTCCTTACACCCTCTGCACCCTCTGAGGCTGATCTAGAAGTTCAAAATCTCTAGGAGGTAGGCAGCAGGACCTGGGGCCACCAGCCTGGCTTCTAAACCTCCTCTCTAATCCTCTAATCTCGAAATCCAAGTTTTGTGGCTGCAGGGTGTGGTGGTGCCTGTTCTCTAAGAGCTGGGACCCACCCAACTGTTATCTAAACACAGATAAACAATTGGCTGCAGACTCACAGTACTAACTGGGGAAGGATTCAAACTCGTGTCCCCCCACCCCCAGCCCCAACAGCCACAAAGAGTTCAGTTTTCAAAATTGTTCTCAACATTTCTCTCACTTAATCTGTAAGGAGAGTAAGGTGTGAGACATTTTCTCCCTCAGAAACTCCCTCTTTGATTTGAAGCCAATTTAGCTTTCTCACTACACGTTCATGCCAAAGCTAACTTTGAAGGTTACGCCTCCCTGACTCTCCCGCCTAGTCCTTCGAGGTGTCTGTGCCTCTGGCAGTAAACTGTCACAGGGAGATGTGTACTGCCACAGCTCTGGCCACCTCTGCCCTTTCTGAACACAAGCATTTTCATTTAACAAACTCAATGTTCACCCAATAGTAGGACCGGAAACCATCACCGGCTGCCCAGGACCATGTGGAAAAAGCCAAATTCCACATTCCTAATGTGGGGACAGAATCCATAGCCAAGGGACCTGCAGGGCACAGCAGAGAGGAGCCAGAGGAAGTCAAAAGCTTGTCCTCTACTGTCCCATGCTGATTTCAACCAAAGACCCAGTAGCTGACCAGTCCCAAGCCAGGCCCAGGAGCCCCATGTTGTACTCAGGGGCGGATGGAACCATGGAACTGCTCTCATTCAGCCAGCCTGCTGATTCATTCTTAACCCAGGAAACCCACACACTGAGGCCACTACTCCAAGATGGCCCTTGTCATCCCTGAAGCCCAGTTCGCCTCTTTTTAAACAAATCTGAAAAATGGTGATAAGGTACTTAATGCCAACTTAACCATTTCATTTACAGTCACTAGGATAACCTTTCAAAATGTTTCCTGTGTTTTATTTGACAGTAAAGATAAGCTCCATCAAAATAGTAACTGCTTGACACACAGCCACCAAGTCCAGGGCACCTTAGGCACTCCATCACCCCAGCTTCAACCGCCCCCCTCCTGGTCCCCAGTGTCCCCTTTTCTTTCTGCCTGTAAGCACTGTTTGCAGCTTTCAGGGTTAAGCGAAGGGAAAGGATGTAAAACAAACTCCTAGAACCATTTGAACAGTTCAGAGAAGGAAGCCAAAATTCTGCCTCTTGGTGGTATTTCTTACCCCACAGCTGGGCAGCTCAGACTAAGCTATTCAGGCCAGCAGCCAGGCGTTCCTTCCTCTACTCAAGAGCGGAAACTAGACCAAGTTTAGTGGCTGGCTTAGCGTGAACTCACCTACCTCCATCTCTGACCTTCGCTTTGACTTCTAGCAAGGAATCAGAGTGGCTTCCGTCCTAGGCCAGCACCGCTAATTCTCAGCCTCCTCCCAGACAACATAATAAACAGCCAGCATCCTCAATGACAGCTGAGAAACTCTCCCAGAGTCATACAGAGCCAGGCTAGAGCAGGGTCAGGACAGATGCAGCCACCTCTCTAACATCATAGACTTTCAGAGTCTGGAAGAAACACAGTGCCCACCCCAGGACATGGAAGCTGTCACAGCTGCGGCGATTCAGAGGCACATGCAGAAATCATGGTGAAATGACAAAACCTTCTCACCAGAGAGAGGCTGATGGCTCCGTCTTCCCAGAGGCTGTGCTGTGGAGATCCCAGGAGATGCACAGGCTAGGGCACAGCCTGCTTGGAATGTCACTTTGAAACTTACAAAGCAGTCATCATGCGGTCACCAAGTTCCCTCTATTCCCAGGGTGTTCACATGATTAATACAAAAAAAGTAAAATTAAATTAAATTAAATTAAAATAAAAAGTAAAAGAGAGACAAGAAAAAGAAAACGGTGCACACCTCAGCCTTCATTCTCACTGGGATGAGATGACTCATGCTGACTCAGAGCCACCACTTCCTCTCCCGACATTCTCTTCATACTTGCGAGCTGGGCTGGTCCGGTTCCCAGGGTCTCCACCGCCCTTCCGGAAAGAGCAGCCTTCCTGACCCTGGCAGAGAGACCCACAGGCGGGTAGTCCAGAGATCACCCACACCAGGGAAGAAATGCTTTTTTAGGAGACTTGGGGACATTTGAAGATAAAATTCGTGGATCTCGTGTACGTGACTGTCAAATACACATTGAAATTGTGTAATATGCTGCAAAGCTCCACATGACACTCTGGCTTTGAAAATAGCAATTCAGAAAAGGGGAAGAATGTGTTTGGGTTGCTTCCCTTGATAACACCAATTTCTGTTCATACTTTCTTCTGCACATATTCCTGATCCAAAATCAGTTATCACTTCTGAGCTGCTTATGAGGTGGGTGTGCTATCCATCTTGCAGATCTCAAGGATATATGCTAGACAGAAAGAGTCAAGTCCCCAGGAATGAAATGAAGGGGCTGGCACTCTGACTTTTAAAAAACTGTTGGATGTTTACTTGCAAGAACCAAGAGCCCGCCTCTGCATCTGAGTTTTCTTTTGAATGATGCAGAGGGCGGGGCTGCCTTCCGCAGTTTCAAGCATTTTTAAATTATGAGAAGTGCCCCAGGAGAGAGAGCAGAATCCATGAGCCACTGGGCAGCCTCCTGGGAAGCCACCAAGGGTTGCTGTGATTGCATGCAACCACTCATGACTTCCAGAGGGGATCAGACACACATGAGGCCGTGCAGAACATCGGTACCCTGAGTTACTCTAATACCCAGAAAGTCATCTCTCGGTTACCCATAAGCGCTAAAGCAAATAAGGAAGTCTCAGGTTGGAGGCAGAAGACCCTGGCAAGCCTGGGAGTCGCAGAGATGCACCTAGGTAGTTAGACTTACCCTCAAGGGGACAGTCTCTGTTTACAGATGGGTTTATCTCAGAAAAGGCAATATTCATTCATTATTCAATATATCACATCTTTCACCAGGAGAACCAGGGTCTCCCACCAGAGGACACTCAAGTGTTTTGAGTTCTCAATGGAAGTTGAATGTGTAACCACTTGGTAAAATCTTATTTCCTGAATTTTTTTTCACATGGGAATGCAAAACCTGCTGGGTTTCTGGAATTTAGATATATATGCATGTGTGTGTGTGTGTGTGTGTGTGTGTGTGTGTGTGTGTGTGTGTGTATGACTAATATTGTATATATGTGGTACAGTGTGGTATGGTGCTGGGGATGGAACCCTTGGCTAAGCAAGTTCTCTACCACTGAGCTACATCCCCAACCTCTTCCTCATATTCTTCATCACAGTGTGTTTTTTTAGGGCAGGAAAGAGGAGTGGTTCTGTTAGACTTATTTGTGAAAAAGTAACCTTTATCTTAGGCTTTCATCAAATTAATTCTTTACTCCCTAGGAGAACTGAAAAAAAATTGTAATTAACAATAAAATAAAAAAATAATAATAACAATAATAATAATACCAGGGGTAAATGAAACACATTTGAAATAACTGGGAAATAGTCATTCTCTCCTAACACAGGACAAATAGTGCTATCCTGAGGTTTCCAGAACATTCCTGGGCAGGGCCTTGGCCTCATAACCAGGTCTGATCCCCAAAATAGCAGGACAAGCTAGCACCATGGAGGGTCAGCAGCACTGTGGTCTCCCTGTACAGAGTGACACTGGGAAATCTCCAATGTTGTCTTCGCTCCAGAAAGACCATCCACCCGTCAGTTCTTCCCATTTAGACTGGAAGAGGAGAAGAGGGTGCTCCTGTAAGAAGCTGACTCCCAGTATTTCCATGAATCCATCACCTGCTTGACCATGTGAGCACACACAGCCCCCCTCCATGACCATTTAGTGTGAAATGTATATATTTTTAAAATTTTTTGTTTCACAGACATACACAATGTATTGTGACAATGTAGAACTTTTTAACAGTTCAATACACATATATAATGTATTATGATTGTGTTCTTCCCCCCTCCATTATCCTCTTACCTTTCCCTCTGAATTCCTTCTTCCCAACTAGTCCCCCAGTGGAATAAAATGCTACCCCCTCTAGCAGCAGCCATTAACAGTCAGTACCTCCTTAGGAAGGGGTGGGTTCTGCCCACCATGGGGTGCTGAAGGAAGAGGCGGGGCCTGTGACCACTTCCTCTATGCATGATGGATGTGGAAGGGACCAGTCTTGTGAAAGTGCCCACTGAGGCTGTGTGCTAGTGAATGCAGTGATCATGTCTATCTGGACAGCAGTGTTTCAAAGCACTCCTCCCTACTCTCCGCTCTTCCTTTCTTTCTGCCTCTTCTTTCTTGATGTTCCTTGGGCCCTGGGAAGGGGGTGATGTAGACATCCTATTTAGGGCTGAGTGCTCGACAGTCACTTACCCTTACTCTTACAGATAAGAGTCTCTACACTGACTGCTAACTTCTGTGGAAAGAAGCTTCTCGGCTCCAGGCTGAGAGCTGCACTAGTGTGGGTATAAACTGAATATTTAGAAGACAGTTTGACTGCATGTTCATTTAGGGAAGTTATGGTAGTATGTTCCCCCTTGGGCCTATGACCTCTCTAGATAGAGGCTTAGTGTAGAATTTTCTAGAGGGGATGCTCTTTAAATGGGCTAATTCCTGCCTATTCCATTAGAAAGAATGCAAAGATATCATATTAAACATTGCTTTATTAAAAGTATTTTGCAAATAGCTACATGCTCTCTTCCCCAATAAAAACAGCACTCTAATTAAAAAGGACTTACTGAATTCAAAAGAAAAAATACAAGTTTTACTTCTGAACACTGCATTGTAGCATATCACGGAATTCTCATAAATGCTGTTGAGCACATTTAAGAGTAGCTATGTGTTGGGGTTGGAGAGATGGCTCAGTGGTAAGAGCACTGGATGCTCTTGCAGAAGTTCTGGATTTGGTTCCTAGCACCCACAAGGCAGCTAACAACCATCCATGGGATTCTAACACCCTCTAGTCTCTGTGGACATTACACACATGTGGTACACTTACATACATGCATGCAAAACATTTATTTTATGTAAAATAAAAATAAGTAAATTTTAAAATTAAGAAGCAGTAGTTGGTCAGCATCTCCTAAACACACAGTTTGGGGAAAAGCTGACAGAACAGGTGGGGAAGGAAAGGGAATTTGGTGGCTTAGGAAGCAAGGGTGGAAACCCACTAGCTACCTAAGGGGATGGACTGCTTGGCCTTGGCAACAGCTTGCAAGTAGATTTCCCTCCCAAGCCTCAAGACCCTAGCCCAGCCCTTATTTGAGCAGATAATGTAGTACCATCTGCCTAGATTTCTGTGAATGACTCATTTGGGGGAGGGGGTTCAATATAAGCCATTCAGTTTGTGGTAATCGGTTACACAGCCTTAGAAGACAAACACACTTGGTTCGTTGGAAAAATCAAGGCAATAAAAAAAAGTTCCTGGGGTTGGGGATTTAGCTCAGTGGTAGAGCGCTTGCCTAACAAGCGCAAGGCCCTGGGTTCGGTCCTCAGCTCTGAAAAAAAAAAAAAAAAGACAAAAAAAAGTTCCTTTCTCTTAGGATCATATGAAAGTTTAAAGTGAACATTGTTGAAGGGTCTACAACCATAGTAAGCACCATCTCTGACTTTGAAGTGTTATTCGTATAGAGCACAAATATGACCATTTTTGAGCTGGTATCTGATGACATGTGTGGTTTATTGTTTGAAAGTTTTCTCACCAGTACAGTATTTGAGTCACAGGCCACAATCAAAAGTCTAGAATTTAAACAGATGACTCACACATTAAATAGTCAATGTCTTTTATGACTCAGGGTCTATGAATAAAGTACATGGTCACAAGCCATCATTAAACAATGTAGACCATAATAAAGAAAATATATACATATATATATATATATAGAGAGAGAGAGAGAGAGAGAGAGAGAGCGCAAAGGACAGGAAGTTTGGAACTCAACCATTCACAGATATTTGACAAATGTGTTCCAAATACACAGTTCCTAAAGAAACATCCGGAAAAAAAAGCCAAAATAGGCCCTATTCTCAAGAAACATATATTCTCAAAGGATGGGACAGAAAAAAAAAAGCACACAGGAAAAAAGTCAAGCTAGTGACATGAAATGTATAAAAAAATGGTGTAGGTAAAAGAGAAAGTCTTGGGATGGGTAGGCTGTTGAGACAGGGGTAGAACTAGAGGAGGCCGCAGGGAAGGAGCAGGGGTTTGTGCCCTGTGTTAATGAGGAAGCACTGGAGGGTTTTAAACAGGAAGTGGTTTGATGGGAATTTTCCAAGGACAACTCTCGCTGAAAGTGAGGAGCACTTTTGAAGGGTCAAGGAAATACACAGGAGTCTGTCAGCCCCACTGGGGTCTGGTGACAGGAGCAGAGATGTGTGGCTGAGGACTTACTTGAGCAATGTGTGTGGGCAGGGCTTCGAATGGACTGAGCAGGGCAGTGATGGAGAAAGATGATCCAACAGAACTCTTAGATTTGGAGTTTTAGCTGCAAAATGGCACTGACTGCTAAGTGGGAGGGTTGAGGGAGGAGATATCCAGATGGGGAAGAAATTGTGATCATAGGCTCTATTTTGGCCACTGCTTAGACATGCCTGTCAGACATCACGTGGAGATGCTGATGCAGAAGTTGGTAGACTCAGAATGCTAGGAGGCCTGCATTCCTGGCAGATTTGAGAGGTAATGATCTAGAGATGGAATTAAACTAAAAGCCTGACCTGGGAGAGAGAGAGAGAGAGAGAGAGAGAGAGAGAGAGAGAGAATGAATATAGACAGGAGGAGCAAGGTGTTCTAGACTCTCAACCATTGAGCTTGGAGGAAAATCAAGAAAACCAGGGCTCACAGCCAAGGGGGTAGAGGCTTCAAGAGGGCTGGAGAGGCCTACTGGTCAGTGCTGCTGACAGTTCCCGTCACACAGGAGCAGGA